AGGGATTGCTGAAGAGTCAATGAGTCGATGCAATCAGCTGGTTTTCCTTAGATAGAAAACTTTGAATCAATCTGACTGGTTGAACTGGAAAGTGACCTGAGATGACATGATGTGAATTGTTATAGAAATAGAGTGAATAGAATTCTGAAGGCTTCTCCTCTTCCTCAGACGCCCACCCAGCAGCATTACTCCACCTACGATGAGGCCCACCTGAAGCCAATCATGCAGCACCTGGCTAAGAACGTGGTGATGGTGAACGAGGGGAAGACCAAGTTCCTGGTGAGTCTCTGATCCGTCCAGCCTGCCGCCGCCGTGTGAACGGAGCGTAAATGTTGCTGTTCCTGCAGGCCGTGAAGAAGAAATACTGCAGCAGCAAACTGATGAAGATCAGCCTCCTTCCTCAGCTGAGCTCCTCCATCATCCAGAAGATGGCAGCTCCTCTCATCAAAGCCTCCTGAGACCATTTTTTAATTTATTTTTTTTAATTTAAGCGACTTTATCACTTGCACTTTAATGGACTTGTTCTCTGAGCCGGGCCGACCCGCTGCTCTACTGGTTCTGTTTTAGAGGTCCTGTTTTGTTAATTTTTAGCTGTTCAGCAGAAACTGTGGCGAAATGTGAGTCTTTGCTGGATTTTCAATAAAGTTTAAATTCCTGGAAGGTTTCCCCTCTCTCTGTCCAGAACTTCCTGAATCCAAACCTAAAGCTGCCATATTTTCAATCGTTGCACGCAGCTACAGCGATGAAACCGCGGGGTTTAAAAGTTCACAGCTCACTATGTTCTCGCACGCTCTGATGAGATCTACCTGCTCACATTGCACGTCTAAAAACCACACATCAGACTCGGCGCAGAGAGATGGCGCTGGTCGGACTCTTCCGTCTGGAAGAAGAACTCCATTGTTAGCGACTGCACAGTGCTGGAGGTTCTGGTAAATCTGCTCCTAGCTTTGCTTCAGCAGCAGGATTGTCTACGATCACGACGACCACCTGAATTTCAGTTTGGTTTTTTTCCTCCTGATTCCTGATCAGGAGTTGGCCGTGAGAGGCTGATCGTTATTTCCTGTCTACTACACAATGAGGCTAAAACTCTGCAAAAAAAAAAGGTATATTGTACGCCTGGCTTAACGGAACATGTCGTAGCAAAGGTCAGCAGTGGTTTAGTTGGGCTCTACCTGCTGATCAAAGAAGCAGAACATCCTCCAGAGGCTCTGATGTCTGTTCCTCTGTAGGATGTCTAAGCTGACCTGAGATCTGAGTGTGACGCTGTTTGACAAGGTAGTGAATGCAACGCATAGGGGCGCTGCACTAGAGGGCAGCCTCAATACCCCCTCTAGAAAAATAGATTTTCTGTATTTAACAGCATCAAATGATAACGAGTGTCGGCACTGATTCTCCTTCACCTCCTATCGCTCTCCTCTCCACAAAGGGATTCATTTCCTCATTCAAGAGAAGCTTGGTTTGGTATTTCCAAATTTGGAAAACATACATCAAAACATACCTTTGTTGAAATATGACCAACAATGGTTTGTCCCAGTTAGCAGTGATCTTTATTAAAAACATTATGGGACGATCTATTTCATTTCATGCTATACTTGACAAATGGGCAAGTGCCAAGGCACTGAATATAACTGTTTAAATGTGGGGCGACGTGTTCACATCCACCGCAAAAATATGTAGTTTTACCCCTGAGTGGAAGAGAGGTTACCTGGGACTGCTGCTCTCTGGCAGAGGATCCAGATGAACCATCAGTTAAGGTCTCAGCTTCCACAGACCTTCACTCGCTTCTCTGCAGCTACCTGATGGTTCATCAACCCTCCGGTGCTTTTAAAGGCATGAAAGCTTCCTAACCAGAGCAGCCATGAATCGGACACTTCCTGATGGTTCTTCCCAAAGATTTTCCACAAAGGATCTTAACAGGGATCAGACCTTTTCTATCTCTGCTTCTGTCTCCTTGAACCCATCAGCCTCAGCAGATTCCTGAGACGCTGGTAGGAGGCAGCCTGATGCCTGCCTGAGGGTGTAGGGGTGCTGCAGCAGCCCTTAGTGGTGAGACGGTGATTTAAAAACAAACCATTAAAAAAAGCTTTGCTCAATTTTACTAATTAATTTAGCAAATTTTGGGAAATTATTTTTTGATTCTTTTTACCGTTACATGTAACTGGATTTTAATTGAATTATGAGGCCTAATAATCAAAAGTTCAAGTTACGTTGTCATGGCAACATCAAGCAAGCTAGAGGTGTGGTCTCCCACTCTTGGCATCAGACTAATGTACCTAATCTGATGATAGAAACGCGGTTCGGATTCGTCGGCTTATGAGACTTTATCGCCACGACCTCAGAGTTCGCCCAACATTTGGACACCTGGAACCAGGCAGGGCCCCCCACCTGGAACCAGGCAGGGCCCCCCACCTGGAGCTCAGAGTAAGAGCACGGTGGCGGCGTGCACTTTAATATCGATCAGTGTAGTTTAATGTAACCATAGTATTTTAGAGTGATTGTCTTCTTTGTGTAACTGTTAATGTTTAAATAGGTTTGCAGAAAGGATTAGAGCTAATAAACAGTGACTCAGCAAATACAGATATAACTTTAATAGAGTGATGTGTGTACAGGGGCACTGCCATGAATTTGGGGCCCAATGAAAGACAGTGATATTGGCCCCCACCCCCCCCCAAAACAGAACCATTAGGTATGCTTTAAAACTGCTATAAAGATAAATAGAAGGGCATCATTTACATTTTCCTTGTTTTTTTTCTGTAAAATTTAAATGAGGGAATTATGCTAACAAAAAAAGTTAAATTAAAATTTACTTTAAACTTGATTAAAAATAAAAAAATAACAGCTTTAGAACAAAAAAAATGTATCCATGTACACATGAAAAGAAAATGGGTTTTTTGTATTTTGAACATATATCCCTGTTTTGTTTTGCTAAACATTTAAGCAAAGAACAGATTATATTTATGCTGCCCCCCCTCAGTAAAGGGCCCTCGGAATTACCCCCCCTTCCAAAGTACTTCCAGCAGCCCTGGTCTGATGCACCTTAGAAGGTGTGGAGCGGAAAACCCCAAAAACCTGCAGGAGCTGGATAGGAGCTGACAGCCATGTTCACGTAGACCAGCTCATTCCAGACAAATGATGCAATACTCCTGTTGTTCCAAAGGGGGCAGCACCTCTGCTCCAGTCCACCTGCGAAAAGCAAAGCCTACAGCCTCCGACTTCCCTGGAGCTCCAGGAGAGCATGCGCGAAATGATTAAATTCAGAGGAACAAAACATGCGATAATAAAGACGTCATTAAATCTCCACTTCAGCATCAATCACACATTTCTGACCAAATATTTTCTTCTCGTTTTGGATTTTTGAAATGAGGATAATTAGGATCATAGAAAATTGGTTTGTTCTTTACCTCCAAACTCAGCATCTCTCCATCCATGCCTGAGTGGCAGGAGGAGAAACACAGCAGCACTCAGTGAATATTAACCAGCAGCTACTTCAATGTTTAACTAAAAGTTAGGAGACGGTTTGGTTAAAAAAAAAAAAATTAGAGATCATACCACTGAAAAATCTGTTCATTAGACATTCGGAGATTTGTCAACTAAAAATGGCAACAAATTGTAAGTTTATACAAGTCAGTAATATAATGCAAGACGCTGAGAAAACATAATTTGTTCTTGACTAGTTAAAAAAGCTTGGCTTCTCAGAGGACCATGACTCCCAGTTACAGGTTAAAATTAACTGGTTTTCTTATTGAACAGACAGAATCAGACTGCAGAGCTTCTATGGATCTTGAAATTTAGTTTCTGGCATCATATTAGTAGAATTTTTTAAGAATAGAAGCAGGGAGAGCTGCAGATTTAAAGGGGAAACAGATTTACTGGGATGTGCAACATGAAATAAAATATATCTCCAAGTTTACCACAAAGTTTACAAGAAAGAAATCTGCTATGTTATATTTAAAATGAAGCATATCCAGATTTTTCTGGATGGATGGAAATGAAATTGTACTTCTAGGGATGCATGATATATTGATTTTGGCATCAGAATCAGCTGTTATTCGTTATTTTTTTATACATTAAAGTTTTTCGGGTGCTCTATATATATATATATATATATAATGTGCTAAAAGGCATCTCTCTGACGTCTATAAATATAAGTTATTATGGTTCTCTTGCGTTCTCAACAATAGGAAAGCTTTCAATAAATAGATGTTTGAGCTCATTTTTGGAAAATACAAAAACCTAATGGAAGCGTTCAGGTGGGGTAACTGTAGGTCCATCAGCCCCCACCCTTAGAGCGCCCCCACCAACTTGCATCACAAAGCTAAACCCTTGTTCTCATCAGTTTTAAGCTGCAATTAGAAGGGAAAAAACTATTAAGATAACTAATGATGTATAAACAGACTAAAATGCAAAAACGTGAAAATATTGAACATGGAGTAAAAGTGGTGGGTAATACTGTACAAAGAGCAGCAGTACTACATTAAAAAAAATCAGTCAGAAGGTTACTGAATTATCTGATTTATTTATAAAATATCTCATAAAAAAACTTAAGAATTGTGTCTTTATTCATTATAATAATAAATCAGTTGAATGGAAAATAATCCTCTTCAGGTTTTGCTGCTTTATAGTATTTATTTTGACGACAGCTTAGCAAAGCAAATAAGAGTTAAAATTGAAGCATCGGGGGGGGGGGGCAGGTTAACAAAGAGACTCCAGTTATCCTGAGACCGGATCGTCCTCCTGCAGGAAGTGAGATGAAGAATAATACTGTTAGCAGGCTGGCTAATCACTAGTTCCCAGATGCAGCCTGGTGAACGGCCATGTGCCGCTTCAGATTTCCACTTAATGAAAACGATTTCCTGCAAACATCACAAACAAACGGTTTCTCCCCTGAATGGACCCTGGCGTGGTTTTCTAGTTGACACTTTTGATAGAATCTGCTTTTGCAGACGTCGCAGCCGAAAGGCCTCTCCTCTGAGTGGACTCTGGCGTGTCGCTCCAGCTGCTTTTCCTTCACAAAACGTTTACCGCAGTGGCTACAGCTAAAGGGTGCGGTGTGAAGCTCCATGTGGCTTTTCAGATGATGTTTCAGTGAAAATCCTTTCCCACAAACACTACAAAGGAACCGCTTTTCGCCTGTGTGAATGCGCATGTGTCGTTTTAGACCCTCCTGATGTGAAAATCTTTTACTGCAAACACTGCAGACGCACAGTTTCTCTCCTGTGTGGACATGCATGTGAGAATTTAGACTGTTTTCAAGCGAAAATCCTTTACGACAAACTTTGCACACAAACGGTTTTTCTGAGGCGTGAATCCTAAAGTGTTTTTTTAGAGTTCCCTGTCTTTTAAACTTAGCCCCACAGACATGACAGGAAAACGCCTTTTCTACTGCATGGACCTTTAGGTGGCTTTGAAGAATTGTTTTTCGATGAAACTTTCTGCCACAGTCAGCACAGGAAAAAGGTCTCTCTCCAGTGTGAAGTCTCATGTGAGTCTGCAGAGAACTCATATCCTTAAACTTTTTCCCACAAAGCAAACAGCCATGTTGTCTCTTTCCAGAGTGAATCATCATGTGTAATTTACTTGAAGTTTTATATTTGAATGTTTTGCCACAAACATTGCAGCCAAAGCGCCCCCCCACACGGAGTCCGATCTCAGCCAAAGGTTTGAAGGGTAGTTTAGATTTGGCCGTCTTCCTTTGTTGGGAGGAAGTTTCTGTGTCTCTCTGCTCCACTGAGCAGCTCGTTGAAGCTTTTGTCTCGCTTTTCTCTGCAGCTTTGATCATTTGAATCTCTACTGATAAAGTTTTATCCTCTTCTTCACTCTTCACAGCCAGCTGCTCTTCCTCCTGACTGATCCCAGATTCCTCCTCCTCCTCTTTCACCTGAGCAGGTTGTGGGTCCAGCTGGTCCAAACCGGAGCTCCAGTCATCAGGAACTTCATCTTTTATCAACGCAACCTGATGGACTGAGAACATTGACACATAAAGACATTAATATTTGGCTGCAAATAAAGATGAGCATTCATTTTTTTAAGAGCTTAAAGTCTGAGTGACTGATAATAAAATCCATTCCCTCCATTTTCTCTCGTTTAGTCGTTGTCAGGGTCGCGGGGGCCGGTGCCCATCTATGGCAGGCTATTACGCTTTTCCACTACCCTCCGAAAATTGATCCGTGCCGAGCTCGGTTCCTTACAAGCGTTTACGCGCCACTCTAGCACGGTTCCTCGCCTCCTAGTGGCGATTTATGGTACTACTGCTCTCTAGAGGTAAACAAGCAAACAAACATGGTGTAACATTCAGGAAGTTTGCTTTTAATTGTTATATTTCTTTGTATGCGTAGATGTAACCCATAGCACATAAGGCCCTACTTCCGGGTTCACTCTGAGAGTAGTGCGCCCTGTCCCTTTAAAAAGGGGGCGGATCCCTGACCCAAACAGATTGCTCCACAGATGCTAGAGCCAACGCTGCTCCTCGCTGTGGCTTCTCTGTTGTTTTTAAAAAAACCCGCCTTGACACTCCACCGCTGTTTAATTTACTCTGATGCCTTCACCATAGATCACTTTAGCTTCTTTCAACTCGATTTACAACTCATAACCTGGTGGACATTCCCTATATCCTCTCCCAAATCATCTACCCTTCGGTCAGGTTTTTTTTTTTGTGTGTGCTGTTCCTTTGACTGTCCACCGGGTGGCGAGCTACCAGAGAACCACCGCTACAGTGTGGTAGGAAAAAGTTTCTTACAAACCCGGATCCTCTGAATTTGGTTTCCCAATGGACCTCATGAACTGTGAACCTGTAACTAATTGAACTGAAGAGTGTAAATGTTTTTTGGGGGGGGTCTTGGGTTTTTTTTTTTCTTTTGAAATTATATTGATCATCTAATTTGTGTTTGTATATTCTATCAATTCATATCCATATAAATCATATAATATAGCTCATTAACATGTATATGTAACCAATACTCTTTCTGTTAGAAAAATAAATATAAAACTATTAATTATAATTTTCTTTGTTGTGCTTATTCACACCCCTTGACTCTGCAGCCGAATCTACTTCAGAGCTCATTTAGCAGTCAGTCAAGCCCAAGTGTTACATAGAGTCAGGTGCAGAAGGCAGCCTTTGGTGAATTTACCTGACAGAGTCGGCTTTTGGGAAGTGGAAACGACAAACGATCATCGAATCAGGGCTTCCAGACGCAGGAAACAACGACAGACATTGAGGTTCATCACACTGCTAAGCAGAATCATCAATGGAAATCGTGCGGCGCGGTAGGGAAGCTAGGATTTAATGAATGATTACGGAGGCTGACTGTAAGGAGATGACACGGTCTGCTCTTTATTATCTGAGAACCGAGCCAGAACTGAACCGCGCCGAGCCCAACTGATGAACTAGAACCATGTTAGCGCGGTTCGGTCATTTCTGCCGCGGTCCGGTTTAGTTTGGCGTGACATTTATACTCAACAGTTATCTCAGTCCATCACAGGGAAACACAGAGACAAACAGGACAAACATCCATTCAGACGCACACCTAAGGAGGATTTAGAGAAGCCGGTTAACCTAACTCATGTTTTAGGACTGTGGGAGGAAGATGGAGTACCCGGAGAGAAGCCACACATGCTCAGGGAGAACATGCTAACTCCATGCAGCAATAATAATAATATTAACAAATACGATTAAGTTTAGAACAAACACTCTGAATAAATTTATTTCAATTAGCTCAGAAAGAAACACACTTAAAATCTATCATGAAAATCAGAAGCAAACATCTTTCTTTTCTATGACGTAATACAGCCAAACTATGAGATACAGGTTTTAAACTATGAAAATCACATCATGAATAATAATGACAGAATTAGGTGCAACTAATGATTATTTGGCAAATTGATTAATCTGTTTTTTCGATAAATCGATTAATAATCAGATAGAAAAAGGCTCCTTAAAGAAGATTTTTCACGAAATGAAACCAGGTGAAACTCAAACTTTTTGACTTGAGGAGTTCTGGATAGAGCAGATTGACATACAAATTTTTTTTTATTTTTATCCTA